CAATGCCACGCTCAGTAGCCAACGCATCCCACGGTAACGCCCTGGGCGTCTTGTTTGCGTGAAAAAATGGTCTGAATTGAAAGGGTGACTTGTGACGATTTATCAGCATGAATCGTTAATTTATGCTGGAGTGCTAAAAATAATTTGCAAAAAAATGATCTAGAGGAGCCGATACAACTACTCCGAAAAAATAAGGTTCGGCCCCTAAACGACGCCACATCCTTCTTTCACCGCGTTAACAAACATCGGCTCAATTTCCGACAGTGTCTTAAATCTTGTTCAGTCTCCACCGGGTGATCCACCTAGAAGCTTCCATGAAAACGCCTCAAAACACAGAAAATTGGATACTTATCGTTGGAAAGATCCTTCTGTTCTATTCAATGGCATTAATAAAATTCATTCATTCCTCCATTTAACGTTGACATTGGACAAAGTTACCAGTTTGCACTTTCTACGAAGAAACACGTTATGTCTTGCAGATTTCGGGCATTTGAAGATTGAAGAGAACTCTCGACATATAAAGTTTTTTTTACAGCATTGTATCACAGTTCCTTGCAGAAAACTTTGTGCGCTTGAACCTTTCTCTTCGTATAAGTTTGCATTATTTAGAACATTTTGAAATTTTGACAGCTCAAAGTCCAGTTTTCATTGGAAGCCAATAAAATACTTTTGTACTCAGGATTTGACGCGCGTCAATCATTTACAGCCGTTCCACCTGAATTCAAATCTTTCCATCTTTATTTGTACCAAGAGATGTAATAAATATATTGCTACCTTCGTTTTTTTCTGCTCGATTTATGGCTCGCGCGCTTCGCACTTGGGCCATAAATTCGATTCTCCAAACAGACTGTCTCTAACAATCACGACCAAAGAAACAAAAGTGGACAAAGCAATTCATCATTGTTAATTGTGATCGGAGATGATAGATACAAAGGAATTATTAAAACTCGCTGGGCAAGCATTTGATTCTTACTTTACATTTATACTTCTAAGAAAACGGGGACAGTTCCAAAGTAAAAAAATAGTTAGGTTGGTAAAATTTTTATGCAGAGTTAAGGCGGGAGTCTATAGTGCGTCACAAATACTCTTTTTCCTGATATATAGTGTTTGATTTTGATAGAAATAAATTACGGTCAAGAATCATTCATACAGACATCTTTGATAGTGTTATTATATCACCACATAAGGTGAAGCTCCGTCTTCTCAGAAAGAAAATCATTTCAGCTGAGGGAAGAGGATGAAGTAAAACGTTAAGACTTGCAAAAACGAGAAATTTTGAAATGAACTCTTTAGGAACAGATGATGGTTAATTTTACTCTAAACGCTGACTTACTCTTTTTTTGCAAGTAATAATTGCATCTCTAAAATTCATCAGCATTAAGGACATTTAATTAGTAACAAAACAAATTTAGGTTTGTAACAGGCCTGGAGACTTGGCGTGAACTGATGACAATATGGCGTTAACGTCAAGCGCTCTCACTTACAATGGAATAAGAATTGAATTTTTTTACCGTTAAGAAAAAGACGACTCCAACAGCTCTTAGTGCTTTTACCCCTTAATTTAGTGTAAGACAAGACAGTAGAATCAAACTAATATCTTGTTCTTTTCTATATTATACGTATTTTCTTTAACTATGTGTTGTTGTATTCAGGGTAAGTGTCATCGCCAGGAAAATATACCTAAGATGTGTTGATAGTGTTTAGAATGACTCTCTTCCGCAAAGAATACCAACGACTGCTTTCTAACGATATCCTACGAGCTTCCTGTAGAAAACCGGTGACTTTAAAGTCAGCTTTTTTGAAAATTATTTACGATTTTAACCCCAGCGGGATTTAGCTTCATTGACAGCAAAGTGCTTGCCTGATTGTCTGCTTAACTGCTTGTCTTACTTCACTGATCTTCCAGCAGTAAAGAAACGGATTCAACGTCGAGTTAAAGTAGACTAAGACAATTGTTATGTTCCTAAAGGCCCATAAGTGCGATGAATATGTTTTACTGAGCACAATTTCCACTATACCATATGGTGCATAACAAACAACTAATGCTAGTTGAACCCAAAGTGCACTGTACACTGCCTTTCTGTATCGCGCCACATTCAGTGCACTTGGTTGGCTCGGCTGTTGTTGAGAATGATCTTGTAGATGAACCTGACGGTGCCTAAGAGCGCTAAAGATTTTTGTGTATGAGGTGATTGAGATAACAAGGCAAATTGGTATAAGTATTCGGCCGTACGAAAAGGTTACATTGTAATTAAAAATGGTGCCTAAAGAAGCAACAAGACTTAAAACCCAAAAGTTAGCTAAAATAATATATGTGCGCTTCAAAGTTACGATTTGTCTGTATCGAAGCCCCAACAGCAGGGCGAGCAGTCTGTCCACACTTATGGCCGTCATCGTCAATAACGACACTCCACATAACATATGGCTTGTGACGATGACCGCCTCATTTGTGTAGTGGAAAATTCTCCAGTCTTTGAGAGTCCAGGAATACGAAAAGCTCAGGGTAGCACAGAGGGGCTGGGCAACAAGGCCAACCAAAAGATCAGTTGTTGCCAAACAACGATACAAGAGTTTGGACGGTGGATGGAGGGAAGATTCCTTGTGAAGGGAAACAAGGATCAGAGAATTCCCAAGAAATGCTGTCACGGAAAAGAGAGTGTGCACTGCTGTGAAGGAAACTGATTGTTAATGCAACTCATCTACCTATTAGGTGAATAAAGCCGATTCTTTTTGAACTGTGTTTTACCTCCTATTAAGTTTGTTGTCGCCATCACTTCACAGCTCAAAAAATGGTTGATTCCTTTCTCCACTAAGTTACCTGTTGTAGCGACGAGAGATATTTCGTGTCAACAAAAACTGCTCAGCCACAAGCACTTAAATTGTACTTCCAATTAGCATCTCCCCAGATACGTTTGCTTTCTTTTAATGCGCATACAAACTGTCAACCACGACAGTTCGAGAGAGTGTCCTGCAATAATTATCCTTAATCCTTTTTTCAAGCAGTCTTCCATATTTTAGCCGTCTTTTATTTTAGGTGTTCGCCAATGTCACAATTTGTCTACGATTGTCTTTAAGGCTCATTCATTCTTAAATTAAACACGAGGATTTGGCGAACACCAGTTTAGTGATAAAACTTGTCGCTTTTTACCAGAAACAGGAGTCAGACTTTGCTTCCATTACAAAAGCAAACACTAAGTTTTGCACAAAACTTTTATTCTGAATAATTAGACATAATTTGAAGAGAAATTTTTTTCAAGGGAAGGGCAAGAGTTTGGATTAAATAAAGAGAAAATAATTTTCCATTATTTCCTATTGGTAAAGCATTTTGGGTCTATCTAGGGATCTTCTAAAATAAAAGACGAATGAAATATATATGGATCAATGATAATTAATTCAGGACACCGTCTCGAACTGAAGTAGTTGACAGTTTGTATGAGCATTAATAACTCAGCGTAAAATTTTACAAACTTGATTATTTTTTTACTTTCGGACTGTCTCCGTTTACTTAGTAATGTAAATATAAGTTCCGACCATGAACAAAAAAAACAAATTTCATATTTGTCATTCAAAAGGCATTTTGTGGGCGTATTTTTAACGAGTAAACGCTAATAAGAAAGTCTTTTAGTAAAGGTTTCTTATAAAGTAAGAATCAAATGATTGCTCAGCGAGTTTAATTCCTTCGTATTCATCATTTCCGATCGCAATTGATGATGATAAATTGTTTTGTTCACTTTCGTTTTAAGATGTGACCGTCGTGATCAAGGGAGTGTGGTTAAACACTTTAGAGGATTTCAATCATCTGCCATATAAATGGTAGAGTCCTTAACACAAAAACACTTTTGTTTGCTCATTAATCAGACGTAGAAATGAAATGAGATCAATATCTTAACTTTGTTCGTGATTGTTAGAGACAATCTATTTAGAGAATCAGCAAATGGGAAACTATCTCTCGCGTTGTCACCCGAAGTAATCATGAAACCAGGCACAAACCTAAGTCGCTTTTCCTCTATCTTTTGATGTAATCGACACAACATTGTACGTGTATGTTTAACTTCTATGCTACCGCACAGAAAATACAGATGCAATTTACACTAATGAAATTTAGCCCTTGACCAGGTAAAATCGCCAGCTTGAACTTTTTATCTTCAGTTTTAATGGCTTATTTGGCTGGTCGAAAAATACCAAGATTTCGATTAGTGTTTTTCTCACTTAGCTTTGTGATTGGTCCTGAAAACTCATGCCACCTATCAACCAATCAGAAATTTTTGATTTGGGTTATCATAGGCTCCTCGTGGTATTGTCTTTCGCTCTGATTGTCAGTTGTGATCAGCCTGGATTTGGTATCGAAAATTACTCTTCTTGAATAAATTATTTATGTTTATCACGTTTCAGTCTGGTCGTCCTCCAGCTTTTTCATTAGTTCATCACCGGCTTATACTGCATGGAGCTGTTTTTAAAGAATTCTATTTTGACCTCCTTAAACTCTTGGTGGCGACGGCCACTTATATCATAGTCAAAAACAATCACTGGATTCCTTAATGTATTTAAGATCGAACCCCACGGGCTGATATCAAAACCATTCCTACCCCTTCCCATCTCCATGCGTTTGACATCTTTTTCTTAAACTTAGCTATTTCAGTTTCTTTAACAACACAAGTAGCAATGTACGTGCTGGACAGTCCTATGCGACTGTTCTCTATTCAAGTTTGCCAAATAGCGATTTCATTGTTTAAGGGATAAAATCACTTCTAATCTTTTAAATTGCCGCAATTTAATTGAATATGTACTTTTGTTGCGACTCTTCCTACAACTGCCGCTACGACTCTTGCTAAGAGCAAGTTCGTGATATGCGCAGACTTTGTTCAAATATGTACTCAGAATTTATTACCGAAATTTCAACTGATAAAAGGCAGCTAAATCGGAAATAAAAAACTAACCGAATTCTACGCTGTAGATTTATTCACTAATCTGAAAACATTTGTACTCCGGAAAAAAAAGATTTATACTGGATGTCGGTTGCCATCATCATGATCATAGTAGAAGTCACTTTGAAACGCACCATTTTTTCCACCATTTTCAGAATCTAAACTGGAAGCAGAACTTGAATCATAGCCAGCAGATAAAAGAGCTTTCTTGTATTCGGCGATTATAGCAGTTTCTCTCTCGAGTGACATGTGTGTAAAAGATTCACCATCCTCAATGGCGAGAACTGGCACTAGTCCAGTAACACCTTCTACAGCCGGGTCGTCTTCATCTTCACTTCCAGGGCAGTCAACTGAAACACTAAAGGAAAAAAACAGGAGGAAAAATAGGCGCACTCACAACATTTACACTCTCTTAAACACTTCAAATGCAGTAAGAGTCACAAAGACGCTGTTAGATTTAAGAAGCTAAAAATGAACTTTTATATCTTGTTTTAGACTTAAGTCCCCGACAAACATACCCTGTCGGGCGGTAAGCACCCGATCAGGCCCAATAAGGAAATGTCAACATCGGATAAGTTATTATCTAGAATGTACGCTATGATGTCATACCCCCAAACAAGTCAGCTGTCAATTTAAACCATCTCATACGTGAAAAAGAGTTGCTTGCAATATGACTTTTCCTCACACACTTTGCTCGCCATCGACCGTCAAAAATTTATTATGCTGTGAATTCTCATAACATCGTAACTCATAGCTTCCCGCCAACCATATAAGGCAGTAAAGGAACACGAAAGGGATCTCAAATTCGTTTCGATACTTGGATCGAACCTGTTCGACTAGAATCTCGAGAATGGACCTGTGCAATTGAAATGTCGGTTTGTGTCAGCCGACGACTGTTTCAATTTCACTATTGGGAATAAATGTTTGGCAAAGAAGCAGATCGTCAGAGCGGACTGAATAACACAAACTATCATATGCTTCTTCCATTTTTTCCTCCAGACTCGCTCCACAGCGACACTGAAATGGGACATTTGCAGCCAAAACGTGAACGAGTTGAACATAAATTCAATGCTTAAACCTATGGCAACACGAATAAAAATTCCTCTATTAGGTGCATGTCAGAAAGGGATGGATTGTCGCCGTTGTACGTAAACCTGTACATCTGTATGTAGTTTGTAGCTTGTTGACTACATTGACAACAATGGTCTGTGTGAAGTCTTTCAGTCTGCCTACCGTGCTCACCATAGCACCGAAACGGCTCTTCTCAGAGTCTACAATGACATTGTTATGTCCATTGACAATCAAAAATCTGTTGTTTTGGTTCTACTGGACCTGTCTGCTGCTTTTGATACAGTTGATCATTCTCTTCTCCTTGCTAGACTATCTACCCGTTTTGGCATTTGTGACCAGGCACTGGACTGGTTTCGTTCATATCTATCTGATCGCACTTAGTATGTCAACTTGTGACCAAAATGGAGTTCGTGACGGTTACGAGAAGAAAAAAGTATTCAAAGGTACGGATCTCCATGATGTTGTATATGTCCCGAAAATGTGAAAATAAAGTCGGTAAGTCATATCTACCAATGAAGCAATCAAACTGATAAATAAAAGATTGAGTCTCTTCACAAATGGCCAACCAAACATTGTTATCATTAAAAGAATCGACCATAACTGCGATGGAAATGACTTAATGGTGTCCGCAGTGACAATTATGTTTTCAAATCTTCTTCGGAACTGAGGTCCAGTTTTGATGTTGCAGCTCGTAACACAGGTCAACGGAATTCAATTCCAATACTACAATTCCAATTGCAAATAAGCCAACGGCTAAACCTCCGAGAAGTTGGATAAGAACGACACATTTGATAGCCTTCCAAAGTGAAATCCACCATTTTGTGGGTCGAGATCTTTTCCAATCCATGTTGTTATAGTCACCCAGGGATGGTGGATCGTACTCCTGAAAAATTGTCTTGCGAATCGAACTTGTTAAAATCTTCCAAAGGATCAGACTGTTGTGAAAGAAGAACGCACCTCTCATTCTGTCCATTATCGCAATGAAAAGCAGAAGAGGTAAACTTTCCCATTAGATGGAGACACAGACTTTCCGCTAGATTCAAATGAACCACGACATGGAGACTTTGTAAGCGAATCTAAGTACAGATGTTCAGGAACTGAAATGTCAGACTTTCTCGTTGTTATCTCTCGGCGAGAAAATTTGTCACTAATTGCAGATTTAGCAATTAGATTTTTCTACCGAAGATACATCTGAAAGTTTTCACGAAACTATTAATTGAATTTTGGTCTCAATCGTTCATAAATAAGGAAGAGCAAAAATTAACGAAGGTTCGATACCTATTGTCTCGAAACACGAGGGGATGAAAACGTCGCATGCTTCAGAGGTGCTGAATGGTGTCACGGTGCTGCGTTGAAAAAACTACCTTTTGAAAACAATTAGTTTAGCCTATTAAACATAACGTTCTCAGAAATGTCCTTCCTGCGATTTTCTAGAAGGATCAAAGGATGTACGCTCGCATCATAATTTCCGTTACGCCATTATGACAAGCAAGGGTTCTTGGTCTATATGTGAGCGGTTCGAAAGTTGAATTGAAAGAAGCGGGTCATATCAGGTCTGGCATTGACTCAGATGCTTGAGTGTAACAAAAAGTGACTTTCTACATTGCTGTAAAACTAGAAAATACATTAAATCTATAATTATTATAATGTTCTAGGATCTCAAACACGATCGAAACGGATTTTAATCACATATTCATCGCGAAAATGAACCAGACGAAACTGACAAGAAATGTCGATTTTACTAATGAATGAAAATAAAAGGATCGATAATCCCCGCATAAAAATCATAAAGTGCGTTGGCGCTAAGGCTGAAAAATGCGTCGAATCATGACAAAAACAATGAGCGTAATTTTCAATATGCAAAATTCTCAGTTATTGACTTTTTCCTTTCCGACAGAAAAACAGCTACACGGCCAGAATTGGCCTGTGGCAAATCTTCCAGTTGTTGATTTTCCTTCTCAGCCGCGAGAAATGCCATTACCAGAACCACTGAATATGTAACTTTCGGCTTTTCTTTCCATGTTTTGGTTTTCTTCCCCTTTTAAGAAAGTTCAAAATCCGCTGTCTGTAAGCGATGCGGATTTTTCAGTGTTTTAGCAGCCATAATCTAAAAAAATTCCGACAAACGACCTTGGATTGAGAATAGCGAAGGCTTCGCCGTTCATTCATCAACATGACCGAGTGACGCGAAAAGCGAATCACATGTCAGCAGCTCATTGGCGATATTAAACACACGTAAAAATTACGATATTTTTCTACGTGTGTTGTTACGGCTTTTCTCAAGGCTGGAAATCCTTGTATAACGCCGTACTTTATATGATAAAATGATATAACTGCACGAAACCTCAGCCTGATCGAAATCCTCGAATCATTACATTAAGCAACAGTCATCTATCATCTGGGGGGTCGGAAGATTTCGAGGGGGATCAGATGGTTTTCAGGGGGGGCGGAGGGGTAATCAGTCTTCGTTGAGTATAACGGGGGGTGTTCAGGTCTAAGAGATTGGACATGTGACTTAGCTTCCCCTCCCCAATATCGTTGAGTTATTGAAATATTATGGTTTTGTTCTTTTTCGTAAGCATGCTCGATCTATAAAGTTAAGGATTAGTTTTTTGCTCCAACGAGTTGATCAGAAGAAACATAGCAAATACTTGTTAAATTTAAAAGGGGCGAGGGCGGGTGAACTAAAGAAAACCCGGACCGGAAATGATCCCTGATGGGGACTGCAAATGATCCCGACCAAAAAATAAGGAATAGCATGGACTTACATATCAGAGGAAGGTTAAAAATGTGCGTTGAGAGTGCTCGATGTTTGCACATATATATAATTATATGTGGTCAGATGTCAGATATATATATATACATACATATACATATATATATACATATACATACATATATATATATATATATATATATATATATATATAAAGGATGACACCCAATGCAAACGTTGGTTCTTATACCTTACTTTATCTTTACATACTTCTAAAAACTAAATAAAAATTTCATTGCCCTTAGAAATTAAAAGTCTTGTTCAGCTCTCTTCGTAAAAATTGTACCCAGAGTAGCAGAAAATTGTTTTCTTCCTGGCATTCTTGGGTGGTCGGCCGACTGACCATGACCAGGGACAACCGAGAAGGGCACTGGTTTCCAGAATGAGATGTTTGACAAGGGGTTGAAGATCATCTGAACTTTATCACCGCCGTTTGAACTGTCTCAAACGTTCTGGTGAAAATGGCTAAACTGCTTTTTCTACTAATCGCGGTTGTTCTTGCAATGGTATCATTTGTGAGCGTTCTCGGAGTAAACGATAAGAGCAAACATGAAGATGAAAGGAAAAACGAGGTAAATTTGCATCCTGATCTAATAAAGCATTAATTGACTACTTCATATCAGTTGCACTCATTGTCGTTAATGCGTTCTTTTAAAAGAAAAACGAGTCACCACTACTGAATTCATCGTTAGGCAACAACTTTATTTTTGCCTGAAAATTTAATCACTCGACGATAGACTGCCATACATAATTTGCTCTCTCCTGTATGCGCACGTGCTCGGACGTTACATGTAGTTTCAGGTTCCTATATTTAGCGTTACCCAGATTTTGGGATGTCTGGTCACGCAACTTTTAGCCGCGTTACAGTTTTGAAACTCCAGCAGATCATTTATGGACCGATCATGGGCGTAGGGTTGTAAAACCTTGCACCTCGAGTTCAGCTAGCCGCCCAAGGATAGTTATCCTTTAGAGCCTTTAACTATTCGTCAATTGTCCTAGAAGGGTAGATTTTTTTAATAAAAAAATAAATTGCGAATTTAACAGGACTAAACTTTCCCAACCCTTAGCCTCAAAAAAAAAATCTGCCTTTGGAAGATGACGTCTACGATGCACTATACAGCATCCTAATTGGAGAGAAATCACTGCGCGATTGGCCTAAGAAAGGTGACAAAGGGTTAAGGCAACGGGTTTATCGGAAGTTACGAAGCGAAATCTATGCCGTGAAAGAAATCTATGATCCGACAGTTGGACAGCCGAAGAAACGAATAGTTGAAAAGGCAACTAACTGCATTGTGGTGAAAAAATCGGATGTTTCTCAGCTTTTGGATGGTGCGTACTACGAAACGAAAGGGGAAGGGGCTAAAAAATCGAGCAAACAAATGTCTCAAATTTACCGTGGGTTATCACGTCGACTCATCCAGCACAGTCTAAATTCAATGAAGCAGCAGCAAAAAGTTAGACCCCTTTTTCAAAATAAGGCGCCTCCCCGGCCAATCAGGGCGTCAAAAGTACAAGAAAGACATCAAGTGGATCTTGTAAGCTAATTGCAATTTTGTTTGTATTCACACTACCCCAAAATAGAGGAAGTCTAAATAAATTGTAGCCAAAAAGGCAGTTACTATTAGTGGCATTCTTATTAGTGTATTAGTTACCTTGGGTCATAAACAGCTTGTAAAAGTGCCAAAAAAAACAAAACAAAAACATACCTCTTGCAACACTTTAGTCCTATTTACTCCCAGAAATAAAGGTTTGCCTATATACAACTGAAACCAATGTTCATATTAAAAGGACATTATTTCATTTCCTCACCAGTAACATTAATGGCTGGGTGAGAGAAATACAGAGAAATATCCATCGTAAAACTGCCAAGTATCATCTGTTATTAGCTCTGACTGATAGCATAATATTCATCCCCTTTTTTTTATTATGGTGAGAACATACACTTAGTCAATTAACCAACCTCAGCTACAATGCATCCCAGAGACCAAATGTCAATCTCAGGGCCAAAAGGAACACCAAACATTACAATAAAAGAATTGACACAGAGCTTTCAGTTTCAACTGACTGCCATCAACGTTATCAAGTGGGAGACACTGTACCTCATTGCATTGAACAACATTTAGTAGGACCTTCTTCCTTGGACTGAACTTTAAAATTCAAGTTTCCAACAACCACTTAGAAATGGTCCTAATATGTACATCCCCCTTCTATTTGCACCTGACATACAATCATAGTAAAAATGACTGTGTGAATTGAAATATTTTTTTCTGATATGTTTCTTGAAATGATACACCATAGAACAGAATTTCCATCTGCAACAGGCCAGCTGTTTTATAAAACACAAAATGGCAGAACTTCACTGATCATCTTTCAGAGAGTGCTCCAATTCATGCAACTCCAAATAAAATAGTTTAATCTAGTTTTATTTTCCTTAGATTGATTTGGAAAACACTGAAGTTGCATGCTTGTAACCTACATGTAAAATTTGTCTCCAAATTCATGAAAACCGCAAATATATCTTTACTTTACCTCAGGAGCTCTGTAAAGTAAAGTTTGTAGTTCAAACTCATACAAGGAAACCTGAAAGAATTAAACAGAAAAAATAAGAATTAAATTACATAATTATTTTGCATAATTATTAAATTTCGTTACTAATGGTGGCTGACAGATCTCAAAGCTCATTTTTCCAAAGAGTTGCCTTCTGGCAACCTTCAAATGTAAAATGGTCACCATTTAAAAATTTTTGGCTGCCCCTTTTTTCTTTTTTCTGTTTTTTTATTTGTTTGTCACCAATTGGTGACTTTTGCCAACATTTTAGTAGCCAAATATATATTCACTTGTCACGGTGATCAAAATGGCTGTAGCTTCTCCCCTTTAGCTGCCCCACATTTTCTTATAAATTTCTTATGAGAATCTGATACTAAATCAAGATAGGAACTTCTACCTGATAAGTTTGTGTATTCTCATTAACTGTTTGTTGGATAAGGTATGGATATTCTAGGGAGAAGTTACATGTTAAAGGGGTAAACACATAGTAAACAATTCTCTGTAAACAGTTTTTCACAGCTGGTATGAGCCCTTGTCCTCTGTACAAAATTTGCCTTTCATTATACTTTGAATAGGATCTTTTAACCCCTTTAACCCCTAAGACTGATCAGCTTCTAATTTCTCTTTACAATATCACCCTTTAATCACACATTAGGATCACGGGAATCAAGGACATGATCACCAACTTACAAAGCTCTTGATTTTTAAAGAAATTCTCCTTGTCAGTGCTTCAGCAAATGTACGAGCAAAGTATAGAGAATATGCATATTGGTGTTAGGGTGTAAAGGGTTACCAAAGTCTACAGTACAACAATTCTGATGCATCTAGCTGCACACATTTAAAATTAAGTCACTAAAATTACCAAATAATAGAAATTACATGTACCTCTCTATGAACCCAGTGAATTGCATTTCCAAAGTCAACACCTTTTATCTTGGTTTCATCACCTACAGTGTGTTAATAAAAAATACAATTTTAGTACATACCAAACAAGTAAATAGTGCTTTTCACATGTGCTGATTGGCTAGTTCCAAAGTGAATACCAAGTTCTATTCACCTCCATGCAGCCAATGAGACAAAATCACATGTTAAGAGTTTAATTTCTGACCAATTTTTTTGGTATATTGAAAGAAATAAACTAATTTTTTGGTATCTGTCTGATATATAGTAACAAATTCATTCACTTCTGTCAGTGTCAGTGAAACTGGTGGATATTCACCAAGCTGCAAAGCAGTAAGTAAATATCCACCACTGTTCACCTTCAGGTCTGTGACTAAAATTGTTAAAATTGTAAGTGTACAAAAAAAAGTTGTTTTATTACAGTGTATTGACAATCAGATCTCTCAGTGGAGGTTGGCTGTCAGAAATATAAGAAAGGCTAAGTCCATAAAAAGCTTAGTCCATAAAGGCTTAGTCCATAAATTCCAAGGCTACTGCTCCTATGAATCAAAATGTTTGCAACTAAGACATGGGGCCTTATACAAGGCATCCAGGCACCATCATGATAACATACACATGCCTTTGTATAGCAGAAACAAAAATGGGATGGTATGTTCATGATATTTTTTGTTAGGCAAATAATTGTAACTGATATGAACTCTGAGTATTCATCCAAGTAGTCTTTCACTGACCACTGTATTGTGTATCTTCAGAATCTGTATAATATGTTGGTCTGTTTTTCTTAGAAAATTATACAGCTGTTATTTATATTTAACCAGATCAAAATATTACAACTATCTTTAAAAGGGGAGACTTTTTAAGTCCATTAAGTTAAATCAAATTTTTTGATGATTTGTTTGTTGCAAACACACCACTTCACCTTCTTCAAAAAGAATGTTCTCTGGTTTCAAGTCAGCATGGATGTCTGTGGATTCATAAGGAAAGTTGAGTGAGAAGCACATAAAATCCTGAAATCAGTCACTCCTCTCAAATGAGCACCCCCCCCCCCCCTTTGAAAAAGATCCCCTTCTATTTGCCAAAATGCAGAATAAACATCCCACTTCTAACCTGGAACAACATGGTGGCATCACCAAAAGATGGGCAAGAGAAGAGTCCCTTGACAATGAAATAAAATGAAGCCACTTGTAGGTACAGATGAGTGATTCTAGAAAGTCTAAAGAGGACACTTATTGATAATCTTACCTCCTAAGGAATCCACTTGTAAGAGCTACAAGCAAATAACCACATCAATTTATTATTAAAAAAACTATTATTTGATTTCAATAAATTTGATGCATGACAAGTGTCATCTTCATTAAAGCTATAACTTTAAAATGGTCTTTGTAAGTTCTTATAGCTGACAAAAGGAAAACTGGTGCAATTTTATTTGAAATAACTTAAATCAAAAGTAGTTATAAGAATTTAAAAAAAAGGTTTGCTCACTTGAAAAGTTATTTTCCTGATGACTTTCAGTTTTTCATCCTGCTAGTAAACAAAATCAAGAAAACACTGCTGAGCGACTGATATTACAGAATGTATATGGTTAGATGATGATCTTGCCAACACTCTGTACATTAAGTCATGTTGTTGACAAAGATGACAATCAATTTAACGATGAAAACATACAATGCACAGATGTTAATACATTAAACACTCTTACCTTGTTATCAAACCGGCATTTCTGTAGAGAAGATGATTTAAAATATAATACTACATTCAGTAGAGATAAAACTACAAAGTAGAACAATGAATTTAAAGGGAAAGCTCCCCAGTAAATTCAATAAAGCCAGTATTAGTTTGTAAAGCAAACAGTGTTACTGCATCAGCGGGAGAGTATAACAAGGTAATTTGGTAGAGTTGATAACATAAATTGGCCACCGTTAAGAGTTTCAAAGCTGACATTATGAATGTCCTCACCATTCCCTCTGACAGAGGGCTAATGCTTGAAACATCAGCTTTGAAACTCTTAATGGAGGCCAGTTATGTTATCAACTCAGTTGATAATACTAAATTACACTTTTTATAATTCAACCAACCTGAAAGTATTGATGGAGTGGCCGAGGTCTTAACAGCTCAAAAACCAAGCAGTAATGGCCCTCAAAACTGAGAACATTCTAAAAATCCACAACCAACGTCAAATTGGCAAAAATGCAAGGTCAGTGAACTGTGGTCCTCTACATACAATACATTCTTTTATTGTTTTTTTTGAGGGCACGGTAACGAATCTTGCAATCTGATTGGTTCTTTACCCGGTCAGTATTTTCCTATCTCTGCCCACGGGCCACGGTAACGCTTTCGTGAGTCGCCGAGTACATCCCAACTTTCGTTGTCATTTTTCATAAATATACCTCGTTTTCCGGCTGGGCAGTATTTTTAAGCAAACACGTCGGTCACTACCTCAAGCCGATAAATAACTTATGAATCCTCTCTTTTCTCTCTATCAAATCACTTTGGTTGACAGAAAAATATTGGTTTCAGAATGAATTTGTATAAACAATAGTGTCATTACGTTGGTTGACAAGCGGCCTAAAAACCGTCTGCAATTAATTTTAATCGTTCACAAAAACGTGAGGTATTTGGTTACAGTTAAACTGAACGATGGAACTTTCATTCATTTAATATCTGAATTTTCTCGAGCAATTTGTTCATAGTGAAAGAGCGAGCGAAGTTTTAATTTAAGTTCTACAACAAATATACGCTCCTGGTGAGTCTTTCCAATTCCGTTCAATTTGGACATTTGTACCTTAAATTGCACAACAGAAATTGAAGGAATTTTTTGAGAAAAGGCCGCATTACATTCCCTTGTGTCTCGTTGGAGTGTGCCGTTCGAATTTAGTTTTTGTGAAGGAAAGATCAGAGTTAAACACACCATTACAGCAAACAAACGAGCAAACTCTCACAACTTCAAAATAAAAAAATTGAATTTACTCACAATTACTTTCCTCGCCGTTTACTTAATGAACAGAGGTAAATCTTCGTACATGAATGAATGGTCGATGAGAGTGAATAATACTTTCCGTTAGATCATTAACTGATTTTGAAGAAAACATTGTTGTGACAGTCCTTGCCAAACTAGTTCTGTTGGTTTTCAAATGTTCCTACGCTTTTTTTTTCTTGTGCGCTCTCTAATTGACAGGTGTCAGATTGTGACAGATACTTGTAAAAATAATGTTTCAAAGTTTGTTTGGAAGCCTTTTAAATCACCTTTATCGTTACGGAAATGAAAATGTTTCGCTAAGGCATCTCTCTTAAATTTGCATCACCTCTATTTTAACTACCATTTACCCCCTCAAAAATTGTTCAGTTTGTTATGATATGCAAAAAACCTTCCGGACATCAACGTTTGCTTTTTCTTTCGTATGTAACTCTCAACTGTTATGTAACTTTCTGGACTGGTTATGTAATCACTTCGGACTACTCACGTGTCAGTTCTCGGGTTACACGACAAAAAAACATTTTATAATAAGAGAGTCGCTATCGCGTTGTTGTTGTTTCGTTAGCTCTAAAGGTAACCTGCCTCTCAAGTAATTAAAGTTTGTGTTCAAAGAAGCTTACTGGACTCAGACTCACTATCTTGCTCTCTCGCGTCTTAAAGGACAAAACTTGGTGTTAGGAGGTGAGTCACGTTTCACGAGCTTTGTTGTTGTTGGTGGAAGTTTATTTTATATTGGTCATGACCTCGACCTCTGCTAGTCAGCAACCTTCTGGTTCATCGGCTGCTGCACCGATCTATACCACCACAGTACCGCTAGCCAAACCTCCAGATCCTCTTAATCTCGAAGACAGGTCACGTAGAGGCGATAACTGGTTACACTTTAAGAGAGCATGGCAAATCTATGAACGGGCGGCTGGGATAAGTCAAAAGGACGGCCCAGTCCGTGTTGCTCATTTTCTTAACATCGTTGGAAGAGAAGGAGTCCAATTGTTTGACACCTTTACCTTCGCTGAAGACGAAAGCGCTGACAATATTGATGACGTCCTGGCTAAATTTGAATCTCGTTGTTTGCCGCAGCGAAATCAGACGTATGAACGGTACCTCTTCAACAAGAGAGAGCAAGAACCAGGAGAAAGTGTCGATCAATATTGCACAGCACTGACGCGCCTTTCTGAACACTGTGGGTTCCTAACCCTAAGAGACAGCTTGATAAGAGACCGCCTCATCCTTGGAGTCAAGAATGATCGGTCACGCAAGAAACTTTTAGAGAAGAAAGATCTCACTTTGGATAACGCGTTGGATATCCTGCGAACACAAGAGCTAACTGATATACGCGCTTTAGACATGACAACTGAAGAAGCTAATGTGAATAGGGTAAAAGCCAAGAAAACGAAACCGCCTAAGACCCAGACTGAGGATACAACACCGCATAAACACACTTCAGGTAAGAAGCGGACTCCTCCGTGGAAGTCAAGAGAAAAAAGTTCTGGTAACCCCGACAATGTATACACACGAGAATGCAAGTTTTGTGGTACTGTTCACGAGATGAAAAAGTCAGCTTGTCCAGCAGTTGGCAAGAAATGCACCAAATGTGGCAGAGACGGACACTTTGCAAAAAAATGCCACTCTCGCTCTGTCAATCACGTACAAGATTGTGAAATCTACAGCCACAAACCCTCCCCCACATCAGCTTATGTAACGGCTTGCCTTAACAATAATGCCCAAGTACAACTTCAGATTGATACAGGTGCTTCATGTAACATTCTCCCCAAAAGTGCCTACATCCGGGCTACAGGAGACAAACAGTGTACAAACCTTGAACAGTCGTTTACAAGGCTCATCATGCACAACAAGACTGTAGTCTGGCCACTTGGTCAAATCCGCCTACTTACTGAACGGAAAGGAAGAAAATATGGAGTTCTTTATCACATTGTGAAGCAAGATTTGACACCCCTCCTCTGTCGAACGACGTGTGAAAAGATGAACCTGGTCAAAATCTTGGATGCTGACGTAAATGCGATTCACGACGAAAGAATTGACGTCTCGTCAAATGTTAGAAGTGATCCTATACTATATGAATTTACCGATATCTTCACTGGAATTGGCTGCCTTGAAGGAACCTACTCCATTCAAGTGGACGAAGGTTTCCGCCCGGTGGTACATCCCCCTCGTAAAGTGCCAGTCCCACTTCGAGATACCCTCAAGTTAGAGCTGGATAACATGGTGAAGAGTGGTATCCTCGCCAAGGTAGTTGAACCGACATCATGGGTCTCTAGCCTTGTCATAGTGAAGAAATCTAACGGGAAAATACGAGTATGTCTGGATCCTCGAGATCTCAACCGCGCAGTGAAACGCTCGCATTATCCACTTCCAACTATTGAGGAAGTAGCAACTCGCCTTAGTGGTGCTAAAGTCTTTAGCGTGTTAGATGCCAAATGTGGATTCTGGCAGGTACAACTTGATGAAAAGAGTAGTTACTTGACAACCATGAACACACCTTTTGGTCGCTATCGATGGCTCAGAATGCCATTCGGAATAAACTCAGCCCCAGAAGTATGGCAACAACGAATGCACGAGCTAGTAGAAGGACTCGCAGGTGTTGAAGTCATCGCCGATGATTTCCTAGTTTGCGGTTTTGGAGACTCTAATGAAGCTGCAATTGCCAACCATGATCAGAATCTCAAGGCTTTCCTCAGTCGCGCAAGAGAAAGAAACCTCACTCTCAACAGCGAGAAGTTGAAACTTCGACAGTCACAAGTTCCTTTCATAGGACACCTCCTTACAGCGGAAGGTCTAAAACCTGACCCGTCAAAGGTACAAGCTATAGTGGACTATCCAGTGCCTACCAATCTCGCTGAACTCAGAACGTTTCTGGGAATGGTGCAGTATCTGGCGAAATTCTGCCAACATCTGTCTACAGCATCACAGCCCTTAAGACAGTTGGAAAAGAAGGAAATAGAATGGCATTGGCAACACCCCCAAGATAAAGCCTTCAAGGAGATAAAAGAGCTCATCACTAAAGCCCCAGTCCTACAGTACTTTGACGTGAGTAAGAATGTCACTATACAGTGCGATGCCTCACAGTATGGCATTGGCGCAACTCTACTTCAGGAAGGACAGCCAGTTCACTACGCCAACAGGGCACTGACGTCGACAGAGCAAAATTACGCACAGATTGAGAAGGAGCTCTTAGCTGTTGTATTCTCTTGTGAGCACTTCGAGCATTACATTTATGGCAAGCACGTCACAGTCGAAACAGATCACAAGCCACTGATTGCTATACAGAAGAAGCCAATCAATACAGCTTCTAAGAGATTACAGCGTATGATGCTACGTCTTCAAAGATTTGACCTGAATCTCACTTACAAGCCAGGCAAAGAGATGTACATCGCTGACGCACTTTCTCGCGTTCTACCTAAGCAGTCAAAGGTACCAAATGCTAGCACCTCATCCTGCTATAAAGATCTAGAAACTGTCAACTTTGTTGAAGACTTATCGATATCAGAGTCGACACTTGCCAAGTTTCAAGTGGAAACGGCCAAGGATGAATCTTTACTAGCGTTGTCACAAGTTATACGCGCTGGCTGGCCTACAAAAACTTCCATGGTACCTACAAGCGCACAGCTTTTCTTCAAATACCGAGATGAAATGACGCTCCAAAATGGCCTAGTTTTCAAAGGAACGAAGATCGTTGTCCCAGAGAGCCTTCGCCGTGACATGATAGAGGAAACACACAAGTCCCATCAGGGACTCCAAGCATGCCTTCGAAGGGCCAGAGAGGTTTTCTTCTGGCCAGGAATGTCTGCACAACTCAAGAATCGTATTGATAAATGCTCTATATGCCAAAGTGTGAGACCTGAACAAGCCAGTGAACCTCTTCAGCCTCACCCAGTTCCTGACAGGCCATGGCAACGAGTTGGAACAGATTTGTTTACCTTCGAGAACCGAAACTACCTCGTATTAGTTGATTACTACAGCAACTTTATCGAGCTGGATCATCTTGCCGATACTACGTCCCAGACAGTCGTTCACAAGCTGAAGATGCATTTTTCGCGACATGGGGTACCCGATTACGTAGTTTCTGACAACGGTCCTCAGTACTCATCCTCAGAGTTCCGAAGATTTGCAGTAACGTGGAAGTTCACTCATATCACCACCTCACCACACTATCCACAAGCTAATGGGATGGCCGAAAGCGCAGTCAAAACCTGCAAGACTTTAATGAAGAAAGCTCTTCTGTCTCAATCCGATCCATATCTTGGTTTATTGGATCACCACAACACCCCCACTGCTGCGACAGGTATGTCTCCATGCCAACGACTTTTTGGTCGCCGAACTAAGACACTTCTACCCTTCTCAGAGTCTTTACTCAAGACTGACCAAACAGTTAGTGATCTTCTCAAAAGGGATCGTGTCAAGCAAGCGAAACATTTCGACCAACATGCTAAACAACTCTCAGAACTCAAATCAGGTGACATAGTGCGCATGAAGATGCCTGGAGAAACAAAGTGGTCAAAAGCAGTTGTTTCTTCTAAAGTGGCATCTCGCAGTTACAAGGTTGAAGTCAATGGTAGATTCTACAGGCGTAATCGCAAGCAGTTGCGTTCTACCATGGAACCACTTCAAGAAACCCCCTTCAAAATGGACGAAGATGACCTGACCGTTCCAGACAATCTGCAGGAACAGGACCAACCCCCTCCAGCAAGTTCTCAAGTAGGAACATCCATGTCCCCTCCAAGATCTCAACTACCCCCAACACCTCAAACAGAGCTGAGTGCAAGACCACCTCACGAAGCTACTACAACTGAAATACGGACACGACATGGACGATTGATCAAGCCACCTAAAAAGTTTGACATTGAGTTATAGTTAAAAAAAAAAAAAAAGAAAAATAGGAAAAAGGGAAAGATGTTATGATATGCAAAAAACCTTCCGGACATCAACGTTTGCTTTTTCTTTCGTATGTAACTCTCAACTGTTATGTAACTTTCTGGACTGGTTATGTAATCACTTCGGACTACTCACGTGTCAGTTCTCGGGTTACACGACAAAAAAACATTTTATAATAAGAGAGTCGCTATCGCGTTGTTGTTGTTTCGTTAGCTCTAAAGGTAACCTGCCTCTCAAGTAATTAAAGTTTGTGTTCAAAGAAGCTTACTGGACTCAGACTCACTATCTTGCTCTCTCGCGTCTTAAAGGACAAAACTCAGTTTATGGAAGATCTTGCCGTATTTACGTCCATAAATCATTCGGGTTCTTTCGGAAAGAATTTCGTCAAGTTTAAAAACAATAAATATGTTATTTACCGGCTAAGGGTCGGTCCGTATGGTGAAAAACTGTGACCTCGGTCTTGAATATCTTGAATACAGTATTTTCAAGACCTCGGTCACAGTTTTTCACCATACGGACCTCCCAGCCGGCAAATAACATATATATACTAATGTACCAAATATATCAGTTACTGTGTTATAAATATTGTAAAACAAAGAATTAATGGGAAATCATCATATTAAAACTGTGGTGTTTTACAAGAGAAGCTATAACTGTACACAAGAAAACTATGATAATTTTTCATACATGTTTGATACTACCAATTAAGTGCTGACACATAAAAAACCTAGTTTGCACCACTTTGTCAAGTTGATGAATGAAAGGCAAAGCATTCACCATTCTCAATCCAAGGTCATTGATCAAATTGCCATGTCAGTTACAGCTAGTGGTGCTTAATACTGTTGAGTTTATATCATTTTTGTCCTTCAGTAGGGTCAGTTTCTTCTCTTTTCTTAATTTCTCATCAAGTTTAGAGTTAAAATTCAGTCTTGCCAACAAAATAAATTCATCAAACCCCCTTAAATGCCTCTTCCTTACAGTGATGTTTTTCTCAGATTTCTCTGAAATCAAAAAGGATGTAACAGTCTTGAGAAAAAATTCACTTAAATGTAGGTATGAAGTTGACAGGTATAACAATAGGTACTGGTATTTTCCAGAGACAATAACAGTGCTATAATTAAAAACCACCATTTCCAGTCTGTATATGCATTTTGGATACCTTAATACCTCTGCTGAAATTAAGAGTGATGATTCCCCTTCACCAATAACTGAATAAATGCGTATCTTCCAGCAAGTAATGGAACTACCAGAAAGAAAATTATGAAGAAGAAATCAATTGCAATTAAAATTGAAAAAAAATGTATTCATTTGATAAATTTTGCCATAACAATTTATTTTTGTGTCATATTTCTTTATTCCAAGCTACACATACTTAAAAACCTTCTTTAATTTACTGTTTTTAAATTTTTAACTCACAAGATAACTGTAGCTTTACGGAAACATGCTTTTTTATCATGATTGCAAATCTTCAGTGTAATTGATGCAGCTACTGAACTGAAACAGAGAAGTTACCTGGGTAACAAGGCTTGAATTTGCCATCTTTGCCAGTCTGTGATGCTAATACTGAGCAAAAAAGAAAAAAAAAAAAAAATAAAAATGTCATCGCAGCTAATGTGTGTACACATTCTGGTTCTCCTGTGTTGATTTTTACATAATTAAAACAAATCAAAACTAGGCTGCAGAGTCATGGGCTGATGCACGGTAATAATCAACCATCCTCATGTTCAAAATCAAAAAAATAAAAAATCTATCATCCACTTATGCTTTCAGATAAGATTGAAGCATAGCTTGTCTGGTTTCTGAACAGTATGTAAGAAAAATTCCCCACTTGATTTCCCCCAATGACAGAAAGGATATTTTCCTAATCTTCTAACAAGAGGTTTGACTCATTTGCAAATTCAAATACTTTTCTTATTGTTTGCCTCCTTTCAAATAAGTGTAAAGAGTTGTACAAGTAATATGTACCAAAATACACCCAGTGGATGAGTTAGCTGATAGTGAATCTCCCTGTTTACTCAGTAGAACTTAGGAGAATGGCAGTGAAATTGGCAGCACTGCAGAATCATACACCTTTTGGTATTGTAGCCGCTCTGTGCAGTAGAGTTTGTTCCTTACACAAGCCTTGTTTTTTTTCTTCAAGCTTTTGATATAGTACCCTGAGTCCCCCAGACAGTTGGGTACTGATACATCCTTCAGGTGGTTTAGTGTATCCTCTGTAATAGCTGCCAGTTCCCCTGAAATTCAGAATAAATAAAGTAATTATCTATCCCAGTTTGTTCTTTACATAAAGCACATAAATTATGTGCAATAGTAAGGGCAGAAAATTATTTTTTCTTGTATTTGACTCAGCATTTGAATTATTCCAATTGTGTGTGGCACCATGGGTTGCAAATGTAGTATGTGTGAATCTAGAAGAACTGAACTGTGAATGTGTGAATGCAGGATAACATTTATTTATGCATAGAGTAGTTACCATCATTATACTCAGAGGGTTTTGCTCTTGGGGCATGTTTCAATTTGCACAACCAGTACATGCAGACAAGCATTTTCAGGTTTGTTCAATTAACCTCAAGACCTTACACCCAATTTTTCATCTGGCCCCAGTTGCTCAAAAGGTGGATATTACTATTAACTGGATAAATGTCTATTAACTGGATAAATGTCTATCCAGTGAATAATGCAATACATTTTATTAAACAATTATCCACTGAATAGCTATTAAACCATTGGATAGAGGCTATCCACCCTTTGAAATACCGGATCATGTGTACTATAGGTGGCCTCGGTCGACATATCGGCCGACACATCGGCCGATATATCGGTCGACTATCGGTCAACTATCGGTCGACTATCGACCAATAGTCGGTCGATTGTCGACCGATAGTCGACCGATATATCGGCCGACACTCGACCGATAAATGTGTACATATA